GGGCCAACTCCACCAATCAGGAGGAGACAGCCACGGCCATTGCCGTTCGAAAGCACTGGAGACGCTTTAGTACATATGCCAGGCCAGTAGATGGTGCTGTTCTCACAGAATCAGCCCTTGCAAAAACAGAGCTAAAAATGTTCAAATTGAGCAAAATGAGGCATGGCTAAAATGCATGATCTGTTTGGTATTTAAAAAAAAAAAAAGTATAAATATGCCTTATATAGGTATGGTCCTACACTATATTATTCAAATATAGCATGATACTGTAGGTCCACTTTAAAATTGCTATTATCAAATAAAAAAGCTTTGAAGGGGTTAGTATGCAACTATCAAAAATCTAAAAGGAATTGAAACTCTCATTGTTATGACTAAAATAATTTGAAATATATTCTAAGATTTAACAAACTATTATATATACATATATATATATACATTTTACAACATGTATCGATCAGATTTTATGTATTTATTTGTTTATTATTCAACACTTTGGAGTTTTATATTAAGTAACTCCCAACATCAAAATGGTAGAATTAGCTCTTATTCAGTCATAAATCAATGTTAATGAAAAATTCAATTCCATTGCTGTTATCTGTTTTCCCTTTGACAGTTATTGAGAAATATTTGAATCCCTTTAGGTTTTAATTAGTAGAAAAGCATCACTTTCTAACTTAATATGTTATCTCACTTATTACCAACTCTTAAACTACTTTAAAGGCATAACAATCAGAATTGTTTATTCTTTTGCCCTGAGCCAGATCCCATATTTTGTGTGATTTTGTATTACCATAAGAAAAAAAGGAGGAAAGAAAGAAAAGGGGCAGGGTGAATGATGAAACAGGGACCTAAAGGAAAGAAAAGAAAGATCTCAGAAAGCCCTGCTGTGGACAGAGAGCAGGTCTGGAGAATCTCTGCTCCCTGCAGCTGCTGACAGACAATAATTAAGATCTAATGATTTATTAACATGCTGATCCTCGAATGGAAACGGAATCTTTACCCTGTGTACCTCCATGTGTGTCTGTTTCTCCACTGCTAATGGATTTGTGGAAAAAGATTGCTCTTGGCCTCTGGAGCTGACTTACAAAAAAAAACCTGCATGTGTGTATGCAACGTGTTTGTGTGTGTGCAGGTATTTGTAAATCTCTGCTACATAGAGTATTTCCTCTTCACATGGCCTGGTCATTGCATCAGGCTCTCCACCACTCATCTACGTCTTCCAAAAATATGTTCTTTTTTCTGCCAAGTCTTTGTTAGGTATCTCTACAAGGGAACCTTTGTGGAATTATTAAGAGAACAATCTGAAAATAAAAAGTAAAAAAAAGTCCTTGTGGCCTTACAGTATAATGACCATTCGATATTATAGAGCAGAGGTGGAAGAAGTATCTAGATGCTTTACTTGAATAAAAGTACCAATACATTATTGTCAAAATACTTAATTACAAGTAAAGTCCTCTATTTCAAATATTACTTAAGTCAAAGTAAAAAAGTATTATCAGCTACAGTAAATGTACTTAAAGTATACAAAGTAAAAGTAATCAAAGTGCAGAAAAATATACTTTATGTGTGTATATCATTATATTTATATTTAATCTTGTGACTTAAAGAGTTAGTCCACTAGCTTAATGTTGTGGGTTAAAGCTATTTAACAAATGGTGTGGAGTACAATTACATGTTTTCCCTTTTAAATGTAGTGGAATAGAAGTATAAAGTAGCATTGAATTGAAATACTCAAGTAAAGTACAAGTAGCTCCGAATTGTACTCAAGTAAAGTACTTGAGTAAATGTACTTGGTTACATCCCAACTCTGGTAAAGAAGAAAAAAAGCAACATGTAGAAGTGATGTATGAGTCCTACCTGTAAGCCCCTGTACACTCCATGTGTGTGTGTGTGTATGCGGTACTGTGTGCTGCAGCTGTACAACATGGGGGTGTTGGGTTCACTGTCATAGCCTGCTGCATGGCTGCAAGAAAGGGACATTAGAAATAAATAAAGTTAAACAACAGTTCCTTTACTTAAACATTAGAACATTGACACAACTCTTACATTGTTTTGCAGCCAAACTAGCAGGTTATGAGACATAACATATGTATAACAAAATGCAACAACATGATTCAATGCCATTAATCCATACAATTCAACACACTGACAGACATATAAAGAATGAATTGCTGTTTTACTGCATCGTGAAGGTATCATTATTCAAACATGTTCACCTTGTCACACAGCCAATAATGCAAAACACAGAGCAATCATTAGTAGTTAGGGAGAACCAGCTGAAGCCTGTGGTTTTGTGTGTGTGTGTGTGTGTGTGTGTGTGTGTGTGTGTGTGTGTGTGTGTGTGTGTGTGTGTGTGTGTGTGTGTGTGTGTGTGTGTGTGTGTGTGTGTGTGTGTCACTGTTCATGCATGCGTGTGTTAAACAATTGGTGCAAGAGGTTAAACTCTGACACAAGAGGGAAAGACATAAGTTGGCAAATCAGTGGGCACAGGAGGATGTGTTTACATTTAAACTGATATCGAAGAAATGTGTACATTTACTTCATAAAACACTGTAACTATCTGGATGAATGCAGATGCCTGGTCATCTTAGTGCTGTGCAGTATTTTCTAAGTTGTGTTTTTTTTTTTTTCCAAGAGTTGAGAAATACTGTCTTCAATATTTGGCATGAAAATGATTCCACAAGATAATTTTCCCCTTGGCATGAATTAAAATGCTTTAACCGTTTATCATGTTTTATTTTTAATTTGTTCAACTGTCCATTCCATTACAAATAACACGCAACAAAACATTCCTATTAAACTAAACTGTACTTTTGTAGTAATATTATGCAAATGTTAACATGCTAACACCCTTAACTAAGTTGGTGAACATAGTAAACCCGATAGCGGCTAAACAAGTTAATATACTGTACTTCAAGGTTGTTAGCATGCTAGCATAGCCTGAAGCTGCATTTACATGATACGCAGTAAGGCGGCTCTGCGCTGTCGTTGCGTTTCTATCAAGAGAGCGGTGCTGCCCGACTCCAAATTGCCCAAAGTTCCTATTATTTCAAATTTGAACTAGTAACTGCTGACCTTTCGACGTGCAACCAATCAGATAACAGCTGTATTTAGCGGCGCAAGCTAGCAGAGGAGGTTACCCTAGAAGTGAACTTCTTCCTATTGATCAACATCAGCCATGTGTAATGTTACCTTTACCATACATAAATGTACTGTAATCTAATAGGCCTACATTTCCTACATTTTAAGTATTTTTCATAACTGTTGATAATATTTTTTCATAATCAATGAATCATCAAAACAATATAAAGTCTTAGAATTACTTAATTTTCTTACCAATAGTCCAAAGACATTTAAGTTACAATGATATAAAACTGAAAATCTAAAACAATTAGCAATCTAACTTAAAAAATAGATGGGTTTCTTCATGATTAGATGATTGATCATATCGATAAATCCTTACATATTTAGTGTTAAGTGCTGGCCTCATTTACTTTCCTTCTTTGGTTTATTTTTCACTGTGGAGGCTAGTGAGAAAAACAAACTTTGACATACTGTATCGGGCAGAACAAAGCCTGCTCTGTGTGACGCAGCTGCCAGTGTTGCCTCTCGTATCTTCTTATGATAACACACAGAGAAACAGAAAGCTCTTGTCTAAATATGAAATGTGTTATATTTCAGTCTGTCTAACCAAACGAGGAGGATGGGAGTTTGCATCCTGTGCTGCTGCAGAGGGAATGTGCGGTACACGGCCGGGCGTCATAAGGTGCTCTTTGTTTCCACATACAGGAGGAGAGACAGGACGACTACGTCAGTGATATACACGGTGTTAATCAAACTGAACGCTCCTTTTATGTTATTCATACATATCTTGGTATTTTAGCTGGGACACCTTAGTCAGGGATCATGGTTCTTCTACCAATACATCTTTAGCTCCATCACAATGATTAAAGGAATACTTTGGCCTAAAACTGACCATTTATATAAAAAAACTCGCCCAGGTTTACCTTGAATTCATGAAGAAAAAGTTGTTTCTATCGCATGCGTCGGTGAATGAAGAAACCACAATGTGAGTAAATTATTGATCCATTAGGCGCGTTCACACCGGAGTACTTTTCCCCGTACTTTTCCCGCTTAGTTCCGTTAGTACCCCTTATGTGGTGGCATTGGGATATATTTTTTTTAATACTCTGGAGCAGAGAGAGGAGCTGTGGCTTATTGTTATTGATTAATGCATCAGTGTTTCTTAGGGTCAAAAACACTAAACTCATAACTTAAAATGAAAGTGTTTAGTTTATTTAAGAAAAGAGCACATGTTCAATGTGAAAAGTGACAGTAGATATAGATTAGTTGCAATTTGGTGCTATATATATAAAAAAAAATATATATATATATATTATATATATATTTTTTTTAATTTCAGGGGGGGCGCGGGGCTCCGTTGGCGGGGACAAGAGAATGGTAGGGGAAACACTGCAAAACAAAACGTCTGCCTGCTCTCTACAATGATCAATAACAGCGAACGGATGGTCAAAGTAAGGTACAAATAAACAGAATCACACGAAGCCTGGTTAGTGTTCCCTGACTTTACAAAGTGTGTGTTTTTTTTTTATAAGTGTGTGTTTGCGTTCTAGTCACTTTGCTCAGCACTACTGCTTGTTACAACTTTTATTTGCCGTACTCGCCTTTAACTGTTAGCTCAGGTTAATCTCGCCCTCTCCGACGTAAGCGTGACGTATGCGGTTCTTGCTTCTAGACCGACAATTTTTTGGTGCTTGAAACGAACCGGATTCCGGAGCTTAGAGGCGGCTCCGCTGCGGTGTGAACAGGAAAAACCGGTGCTTTTCAGGCTCTAGCTCCGAACCGGCCCTGGAACCGCATTGGTGTGAAAGCCCCAAAAGAGTACTTAGTGCCGGGAACTTTTACCCCCATTTTTAGTGCCTGCTAGAGAGGTGGTACCAAAAAAGTACCAAAAAAGTACCAATTTCTATTGGCTGGGCGAATTGCAAACCACGCCCTGTAAAACTCTGAAAAGTTTTGTGAAGCCGCCATCGTATTTGTGGCATTAGCATTATTAGCATTAGCATTAGCCCCGCGCACCAACGGAGAGAGAATAACTTATGGCAACACAAAGAAAAACATGGGAGCGGTGGAGATGAGGAGGTGTCGGCGTTCTGGCGATTTACTCTGAAGGCTTCAGTAGAAGCTGCTGGGAGTCCCAGCAGCTTCTACTGAAGCCAGTCCCCAACTCCGGGGACTTCCGGCCGGGGACTTCGGGCGGCAGTATACGCCGTGAAGTAGTTTGCGGCCTGCCAGTAAACCCAAAGCAGAAGAAGACGAAGTGACGTCAGCGGCTTCATTTGCCTAATCTTCCCTCAGGGAACTTATTCCGGTGTGAACGCGATCTGTACTTAGTGCCCTGGGGTACTAAGTGCCGGGGCACTAAGTACGGCGAAGTACTTCGTGTGAAAGCGGCTATTGAAGTAAATGGGGTCGTCATCAATAGCAAAACTATATCAAAAGATTATATTTAAGTCCCATTTATCAAATATTCTTACTACCTTTAGTTTTCACTAAAACCTTACTATTTAAAACATTTAAACAAGAAGTAGCCTTTGCAACTCATGATACAGTTTATGTGGAAGTGAATAGATAGTTTTTATGTGGTTTTTCTTAAACGATTAACCATTTATTTCAATTCCTCAAGACTTTTCTAATTTGTGGATTCCCTGTTTATAGTGGAGGCATGCGAGAATATCACGGTTTTATCTTGCATCGAAAATAAAACAGGCTGATTAAAAGATAAACAAACGATAATTTTATGGGTGAAGTATTCGCTAAAGGCCTTATTGATTAAATAAATGTTTCGTAAATGAATGTGAATGTGCCCCAGCACCAATGACAACACCATTATAACAATGCTTCCAAGAATGTAAACAGGGAATCTAGTATTACATCTATTCGGCAGGTGCTGTGTGGTTCTGTGCAGAGCGTGAACATTGGGAACGGGCCTATCTGCTCTTCCTCTTCAATCTGTACTCCCCTACACTTCCTTTTCCTCCTCTCCTGCACCTCACCTCTCTTTATCTCCCTGTGTTACTGACTCCCTCCTCTTTCTCTTCCTCCCCATCCTTACTCCCTCACACCTCCCCTCCCTCCTCCTGCTCCCCAGAGTGAGTACAAAGAGCCACAGAGAACCAAACAGCATCATAGTCTAAGATGACCAAGGCCACTGAAACATTTCTTATCAGTTGTTAGTCAGAAAACTTGAAAACTCAAATTCTTCTCTCCTGTCACTCAAAATTACCTTACATGTCATTTAGAGATACCTTTGGGAGCAATTTCTGGTGATAAGTATCTACCCAAAGGACACTTTGACATGTCAACTGCAGGGGCTGGGGATTGAACCCCTGACCCGCCATTTGGTAACGCTCTGATGCTCCATTTAATGAGCCTCACTAACCACAACACACACACACACACACACACACACACACACACACACACACACACACACACACACACACACACACACACACACACACACACACACACACACACACACACACACACACACACACACACACACACACACACACACACTTGTTAAGTGATGATGAATGCATGTTGGCTCGGAGTAGAAGGTATTTGTGAGCCGACACAGCTCTACAGGTCACTATGACATGAAGTACAGTGCACTATACGGAATGTTATTAACCCTGTGTGAACAGGAGAGGCTGATACTGCAGTGATAACTGGTCCTAAATTATGTTATACTTACACAATGTAGTTGTGTAACAATAACAATTCAATTTAGGCCAAATGGTGTTGCCGGGCTGCAGGTCTGTCTGTCAATACATCCAATACTTTGGTCCACGCTAAGGTATCTCTATAATGGCAAACTTTTGTCTTACCTGAGTAGGGATTCCATTTTTTTTTTAAAGAAATTATGTACTTTCTGTCCCAAGGGAATGGGACATTTACTTTTTAATAGTCCATAGTCTGATGGATGTCGATTGAATTGACACAAAAAAAATTCTGCTGAACAAGCCAGGAGTGTTTAGAATGATATTGTCCACCAACCAGGTTATCTACATGCACCGAAAACTATGTTTTCATATATGCAAAATTACCTCAAGTACTGACTAAATACTGCCATTGATGCTCTGTCAAAAACAATCAGCCAATAGATTTACTTTAATTCTAACCCAGTCTTTATGTTTCCCACCGTCTTATTTAATATAAACTTTGCTGAATATTTAAAAGCTCATAAAGAATGTGTATCCATTTGTGGCTGTTGCTTTTTTGTTTTCTTCAAAGGAAGAATTCTAATGAAAAATGCCAAACAAGCACACACACAGCCCCCCCCCCCACACACACACAAACAAACTGTGCCTAAGATAGACACAAAGAAAGCTACATTCTCCCATAACTGCCACCTTTCATTAAACACAGCAGACTCCACAATCATTTTTCAGACCTGCCATGATTAAATACACTGCCACAAACACACACACACACACACACACACACACACACACACACACACACACACACACACACACACACCACACACACACACACACACACACACACACACACACACACACACACACACACACACACACACACACACACACACACACACACACACACACACACACACACACACACACCAGATGTATAGCCCCCCTAACGCCACAGCCCCTTCATCACAGCACCTGCCGACCCGCAGCAGTCTGGCTGGGTAGATGTGGTGCCTGGTACCCTGCTCATTACACTGCTATTATTCCACAGTACAGCAGGGGCAAGCAGCCAGCAGAGCACAGAGGAGATTCCTGCTGAAGTATTGTTGGAATGGAGGCTGAGCACCAGAGTTAAAAGTAATGATTCATGACATTTTCAAATAAATATGTGTCAGATTTTCTTGTCTGTTGCTGATGTGATGGAACCCATTACTGATTGAGCATACATATATTCAATGAATGCTCTCTGTCCTCAACACCCAATGTGTTTTACAGGAGGTTCCCCTGGGAATCCCCCTGATTCACAGGAAGCTTGCAGCAGGAATCATACATTTGGTTAAAAAAAGCCTGACCATTTACCATAAGTAGTGATAGGTGCAAAGGATGAACCAAAAGAGAAGCAACTATGGAAACATAACCACTGAAAATCCAAGGAAAAACATATCAGCATGTTAGAAATGCAGTAAAGAGACACCACCAATAAAAAAATAAAAAATAGATCTAAACATTTTAAATCGATGCCTTACACCAATACAATGGTGGTCAATGTAATAGAATTTGCTCAAATTATCATAAAGATAATGTTAACATGTGGATGTTAAGCAGATAAGATGTTTACGATTTTCCCCTTAACTTCATCTAGAAACGCGAGCAGCAGGTACGTGATGATTATGACGTAGTTTATTGATAGCTTTTACTTCTGGCAGTTGCATTCACACTTAAAAATCATAAAAGGGGTGTTAATATGTGGAGATTATCCTGCTGAACAAAATGTGTAAGTATCATAAAAGCGTTTGCCAGAGATCTTATTTTCTGCAATTTTCCAAAATCCCCATTGCTTTTAGTAAAGGGAGCCTTTGCAAAGCTTTTCATAACGTTTTATTGGACAAATGGACATTTTGAGAATTCTGTGGGCTACATGAATGTCTCAACCATTTTTCATTGTGATTAATCTAACAGTTGTCAAGTCATTTGACTAAAACCAACATTTGTCAATTTCTTAATGGCAATAAATAAAAACCCTCAAAGTCATTAGGATTGCTTCTCAGGGAACCATGAATATATACAGAAGGTCTCACAGCAACTGTTCTAGTAACTGTTCAAATATTTCACTCTGGAACAAAATGACCATACAACAGGGAGATCTTGGCATCCTGACAGCCATGCCTAAAGCATAGGTACAAATATCATTTAAAACCTCAAAAGCTACATATCTCTATCCCAAACAAAGTCCCCACTATTCTGGATAATCCTCTCATTATTTCTTATATGAAACTGTTTCTATCGTACTAACTAGTTGGAAACTTTTTCAGTTTAGGATAATATGGTAATAATAATATTTATGAAAATGTGTGTGTGTGTGTGTGTGTGTGTGTGTGTGTGTGTGTGTGTGTGTGTGTGTGTGTGTGTGTGTGTGTGTGTGTGTGTGTGTGTGTGTGTGTGTGTGTGTGTGTGTGTGTGTGTGTGTGTGTGTATTAATAAGGCCTCAGCATGTTTTCATTTCATGTTGTTACAGTGGCCAAGCTGACGTCCTGCAGAGTAAATACAGTCCTGGTGGTACCAGGCGGCAAGATTAGACAACTGCCTCTACTCATGTGAGTCTTCCCAGCCGTGTGTGTGTGTGTGTGTGTGTGTGTGTGTGTGTGTGTGTGTGTGTGTGTGTGTGTGTGTGTGTGTGTGTGTGTGTGTGTGTGTGTGTGTGTGTGTGTGTGTGTGTGTGTGTGTGTGTGTGTGTGTGTGTGTGTGTGTGTGTGTGTGAGAGTGTGTGTGTGCTGACAAGAAATCAGTTATGTTTATGACAAAGAATACCCTCAGACTTTCTGGACCGTCTGAAGTATGTCCACCTCATCTCTATCACTTTTTCTTTCTCTCTTTCTATCTATCTCTCTCTCACATACACACACATTTTCCATGGGATTCCTTCTGTTCTGCCTTCGTTGGAGAACAGAATGTTAGTAGCTTGTGAAGAATGTTTCATTTGTAAAGCATAATAAAAAGCAAACGGTGTGGAAACATACCTCCTTCAAATGTTTAGTTTGGTGGAAACATATTAAAACCTGTTTATGATTTATAAATATTCTGAAGGGCATGATGTCGCAGTTATGGAGATGTATTTTCATATTCTCCCGGTAAAGTTGTAGTCAAAACCGTTTGCATGGTGACCATTTCATGTATTTTTGTTTTTAAATGTGCTTTTGGTTCTGGTGTGTGGGAGAAGCAGGGATTGAAGGCTTAGGCAGGGTGTGGAGGTGAGTTGGCTGAAAGCAAGAGTTTTGATGGGGCAGGAGTAGGAGGACATATTTTGGGGTTATATGTGAATAAATATTGTATTTGTGGATTAATATTTAGTATGTGAGGCAAATTAGTTGCTACAGTCTGTTGATGTGAAACTGCGCAAAATGAGTAGAAATCCAGAGTGACTCAGAAAAAGACATTCCATTCGAAAAACCTCAGGGCATTTTTGACAGGATGATTCTCTGATACATTAAATAAAAAAATATATGTTTCTGTCAGAAGAAAGCAGTTTGTTGAGAGGATATATTTCTGAAAGGTAGCGCTTCATTTTTTCATTTTCTGCAGTGAATCACAGACTGTTTTTGGACAACTGCTTAAGGGGACTCAACTGAAGAATTGTATTAACCCTAAGCCTTTTTTCTTTCGGTTTGAAAAGTAGAGACCTGATTAGAAAATTCTTGCATAGCTTATGAGCTATACAGGATTGGACTGTATAGTTCAGTCAATGGCGAGCAGAATATCTTGATTTACAATATCTCTTTGAAAATGTCCTAATAAATCAACCCACTTTTCTACAGAGCTTCCTGATATTGATAGTTTACTTCCTTCAGTGGCACCGTGACTTTTGTAGGTATCTGCGTAATATAAAACGACTTGTCTGTACATAAACAACAACTCAAGTTAGGATTTTTCGATCTCCTCTTCTAATGGCGGAGTTGGCAGAAAAAGAAAGGAAGTGGATATATGGCAGAGAAACCTGCTGAAGGTGGACTCCCTGTTCAACACTGCATCCTGCTACCTTTCACTTACTTACTGCTTGGGACAAACAACAATGGTTTCTGAAACATGTCCCCCTTATTTGTTACTCTTTGTCTATTACAAAAATAGATATTGGCTGTGCAGGTACAAGGAGTTTGTTCCTAATCCAATCGGTGAGCTCCACTGTGTCTGAATGATAATTAAAGGTGGAGTTTCTGTATAAGTTCACTCAAGGATACTAGCCAATTTGTGTCAGTGTTGTACAACCTTTAGAAATGGTGGTCCCCAAAATTGATGTTCTAGTCAGGTACCCCCACAACACCCTAAAAACAAGAACATACGTGTGTTTTACCTGTTGTATGGGTTCCTCAACAGTAGAGCCTGGCTGCCTGTACAGCTGTCTGAAGGTGTGTGGCATCCATACAAAGGAGGAGGAACAGGATACTGCTGCTCAGCTGTGGACACACACACACACACACACACACACACACACACACACACACACACACACTGTATTATGTGGAAATGAATTTGTACTCCAGTATGCACCCATACAAAACAAAGATGAAAAAAAAACTCCTCAGTGATTCACTCAGAGGAGAAACTTCCTTTTAAACTCTGCCCCTTCTTGCCCTCTCCTGTTTTTCTCCACTTTTCAGGAGTTGTTTTTTTTTACAATTAAAGCCACTGCACTTTACGTTTCTCTCTCTGAGATTCCCCTGCATTAGAGTAAATGGCTCCCTCGACAATTCTCTACATTCTAAAATCCCTTTCAGCTTAGATTCTCCCACTTATCTTTGCCCAAAATAAACATCAGAATTTACCGCGACGGCTTCGTTAAACCAACACATTTCAATATTTACTAAATAACGTTTTGAAGAATGGATTAAAGGGAAATATGGGTGGATGAAAGAGGGGATGAGAAGAGGAGAAGAGGGAGTTTGTGAGTCAGGATGTGGCTGATTTATACCTCCGACAGACGAGGTCACTGCCGAGACGTCAGGATAAGGGACAAGACACTCCCTAGGTGAGGGCCATGGAGCTGCCATACAAACGCAGCTGTGCTTTAATATACACATAGACTTACACACATAGTCTACTATTGCTCTTATTGAAAGAGACTCTGATGCATTGTATTTATATTTAGGAAATTGACTACTGGGTTAGGTTATTCTAAAATGTGATCCAGAATGAGAGGGATAATCAGTAGTGAAATGTAACTAGGTACATTTACTCAGGTATTGTACTTAAATACATATTTACCATGTTATGATACTTTATACTTCTACTCCCCTCTATTTCGGAGGTAAATAACATACTTTTTACTCCATTACATTTAGTTGACACTCATACTTACTAGTTCGTTTTTACATATACAAAACACATGATATAATATGATGCATAATTGAACTACTAATCTACCTAGCATTTTACAAATGATAATATAATAGTTAATACTAAAATAATACTGCGAAAGTACATTTATACATTTAGCTGATAATACTTGTGTACTTCAATTAAGGTAACATTTTGAATGCTGGAGTTTGACTCGTAATGAAGTAATTTTAGATGGTACTGTAGTATTTTTAGCTTTACTTAAGAAAAAGATATAGAAGAAGAAGAAGACATACTTTATTAATCCCTCACAGGCACTTCTTACACAATTTAGAACAAGTTAGAACAGGGTACAGTCAGCATACATTTGTAAGACAGTTGCTAAATGTAATGTAATTTGTTTTAGCCTACGTTAATGTCAGTTGGGTTGAGGAGGTAATGCAATTTATAATTGGACATAGTATGTATAAGGGCCCTACAAAATGTAGCTACATTGTGTTTGAAATGTACCTGGACATGATTTTTTACATTTGTTTTCAAAAAGGATGATGCTATAGAATCATCCATTTTTGTTAAAATTGCAACAAAAAAATACACACGCTATCATGCTATTATACTTAACTGCAGAGGCTGCTGAAGAAAGAAAGCTACATCAAGTGAAGGCTAGCTGGTGAGAAAAATCCTAACCTCAAACTATTACTCTTTTTTAATTTTCCTTAGCAATGATTTGTAATTGTAAAAATAAAGTTAACTGACATCTTGGTAATGCAGTTTGTTTTTCTATATTACTAAATGAGACAGTTGCCAGTAAAAAGGCAAATAGCTTAGCAGTGTAGCATTAACCATTATACAATTACACAATTGAAGTGGGATTCACGCGAACCCCCGGTGGTTAAACTACATCTAAACCACACATTAAAATGTATTCAACTACAATGAATTCATTATATTGATGTTTTATACAGTATTAACAGGCTCCTCGCAACATAATGTTACATTGAATTCCTATTAACTGAAAACCACCATAGAGCCAAAGCTAAAAAATGTTTCGGTTTCTATACGGTTTCAACTTTCCAAGTGTGTTGGACAGCATCATATTTTAAACTCTTTTTGTGTCTCAAAAAAATTCTCCTAAATGAATCCCACAACAACTTCAACTTCCATTGACACTTACCCATAGTGCTTTGCTGTGTTAGAGCATCTTCATGTTTGAAGGAGTGGTTGGAGAACTGCGAGCCGTGGTGTGTAGGAGTGTGGCCGTAATTACCGGCTCCATCGAATGCAACCGCGCTGTAACCTGCGACACAGAAACAAAAAGCAGAGTCACTGCAAATGAATGTGACTGTTGAATACATTCCATCAGAGATCACACATTGCTTGGAGCAGATACAAACATTTGTACTTTTCTTATTAGATTATCAGCCACAAGGACAAGATGCTGTTGGTGTATATCTAATTTTGCAATGACATTTTTTATTGTATGATTGTTTTTGCCGCCGGCTGTAAAATTTGCTTTAAAAGTGTAAACACCAACTCATTAATAATCTGAATAGATTAGTTTAGTTGACAAAATGTGTGTTATTTAATGTTTTTATTAAACAACACACACACAACACACACACACACACAAAAGGAGACTAGAGCTGTGGCTGACATCCCCGACCAGCCTGACTCATGACTTAGACTGACCTAAAGGGCACAACACACTCCCATAAATCACCCACATGCACACACACACACACACACACACACACACACACACACACACACACACACACACTCACACAGAAACACACACACTCAAACACTATCTCTCACTCTCTCATACATGCTTCGTTAATGAAAAAGATACAGTTTCTCTCACTTTCCTCAGTGCTTCATTGGTTGAGAGGAGAGGGAAAAACCTCATTAAACATGTCCATTTATCTTCCACTCACCCCTGTCTGACTCCTTTCTCAGTGTGTGTGTGTGTGTGTGTGTGTGTGTGTGTGTGTGTGTGTGTGTGTGTGTGTGTGTGTGTGTGTGTGTGTGTGTGTGTGTGTGTGTGTGTGTGTGTGTGTGTGTGTGTGTGTGTGTGTGTGTGGCCGTGTGGCCGTGTATCTGTGTGTGGCCGTGTATGTGTTTTTATGTGTGTGCAGGAGGCGTGTGGCGCAGTGGATAGAGCGTTGGTGTTGGGATCAGGGGAGCACAGGTTCAAACCCCACTGCAGTCAGCATGTCGTTGTGTCCCTGAGACACTTCACCCCAAATTGCTCCTGTGGGGATTGCCCACAGTATTGAGTATGTAAGTCGCTTTGGATAAAAGCGTCTAACAAGTGACATGTAATGTAGTAGGATACTTGTGTTGCCTTGAAGTCCAGCACTGAATATACTGTACACATAGACTTAATTGATGAGGTCAATTTGTATTAAAATGGAAAACCCAAGAATCCTTGGGGATTTTTTAAAATCTGAATATACATTTAGTTCAAATATTTGTAAATTAAAAATGTTGGGAAACCACAACTATAAAATATGCATTCCGTCCTATTTTTTCACTGACAATGCTTGTTTTGAACACTTTACCTGTCGTTAATAATTCGAAGACTACATCATTTATATATTATCTTTAAAAACTAGCAGCACTCATGTTAGCAGGTTATCTTTGCTACTATTACTATTAACTGATAAAAAGTGCAGACCTATAAAAGCTAGTTTAGTTGTAAAACAAATGAAACATGTTAAAAAAATAAAAGTATATCAGAAATGTGTTTCGTGATTTTCTTTTGATCCATAAATGTTTTTTTTATTCGTATCGGCAGGCCTCACTTAACAAGAAATGTTAACGTTTTCTAAATATCTGCATGATAGATGCCCTGATCCCATATAAAAAAAATGAAATCCCTCCTGTGGGGGGGAGGGGGGAGGGGGGGTCACAGTGATAGTCTCTGTGACCCTGCCCTGCTATCAGACCCCCGTCCTGCTGTTAGTGTTTGTCTGTGCTCGTCCAGCCACAGCGGGGGTTGGGGGTGGGTGGGGGTACAGATAAAACAGGTGAGAGGTCGGCTCAGCTCTTTGATTATAATGTTATTCCTAAATGATCTGCTTGATAAGCATGTTATTACTAATTAATCTGGTGGGGAACCACTAACAGATTCATTATCGGACATGGAGAAGAGCCGGGCTTAGCTGAGATCGGCAGGATACTCAGCAGTTAAGATTTTATTATAAAGTATGTATCGTTGATCATATGAATCCCCCATTAAGGTGGCTTTTACTCTGTAGCTAAAAATACAAATACTTTTCAAACAGAAAAGGGAAAGCCTATGACGAAAGTGATCCAGGCGCTTATAATGACTTACATTATGGGAACATTTATGAATTACACTTTATAGCCTCTTTCCCGTTCTATTGAAAACAATTTAAATACATAAAAGCATTTTTTTATGATTTATTCTACAAAAATAATGTATGTCTTAATGTCTAAAACAATTGTATCTGTTCAGTAGTGAATAACATATAAAACCAACATTTAAAGGAATTGGTATTTTTCAAAAAATTTATTTAAACTTCAATTATTAGTGTATACAAATGTGCAAAACTGTTAAATGTAAGGAAAACATGACTCAAATAGATGAAATGACAAATGATATTAACTCAGCGATGCCTCAACAATCATGTTGTATTACTTTAACACTGGACAGAAACATTTGAGAAAAGAAATGTCGTTTGTCAAACATCACCTGGGCACACGTTTTTATTAAGATGTTTGAGGTTTATATTAAAAACGAACAGTTCAAATGAAAAGAGATATTTATCCAACATTTGTAATTCCATTAAGTATTTTATTACCTGAGTGTTAGTTAGTATGTACAGCAGCTTCAACAGAGGCACAACGTGCTTGCTGCAGACTAAATGATATAAAGTCCAGAGCCTATAATAGATAGAGTTTTTGTGGCGGTGGATAGTGAACATCAAATATTTGTTATCTACTTTTTTTTAAATGTATTTCCAAAATATGAATTTAAAAAGCAGATAACCTCTCCAAATGAAAAAAATGTAAAATAAATCATGAATATGTCAAGTACTAAGTATTCATTCATTAGAAAATACCAAGATAATTGTTATTATCTCATGAAACATCATGGTGAGTCTACATTTAAGTTTGTTTAAGGTCAAAATACATTTTTGAATATGACTTATTGCCATTGTTTTTTTTCTTAACTGTTGTTTTAAATGACCCATTTACTCAAACGGCTTTGAGCTGCACAGATGTCTTTGGATTAATTCTGAATACTAAACTAACAATAATTGTTTTTTATTGATGCTTAAATGTACACCACATTCTAAGAAACAAAAATGAAGCTGTCTGTACACAAGCATGCAATACTCTCCAGTTCTTCAATGAGATTGTCAATGATCTCTTCAAGGGTTTAATAAGGATCTTTTCTTTAATAACATTTATATGTTATTATAGTTTACTTCAAATAGTTTTTTTATCCTTGTTTTATTTTATGGGCCGATTCTTACACTGTGTCTGACTGTGTTAATGTATGCACCAAATACAGAAGGGCAAATTACTTGTATGTACCTACTTGGCAATAAACCTGATTCTGATTCTGATAGTGACAGTACTGGGAACTTAGGGTAAACGTGAGCCTCCAGGAAGTGAAGGCATCACATCTGCCAGTTTAAACCATGTGAAATAATGTTTCATATATCTTGTGCAGGTGTAATACGGACACATTTAGGTTATATGTGACTGAGGTGTTTTGAAATGTCATGCTTTAGATTAATATCAGCTAATGGTTGATGAGAGTAAGGTAAACAGTGACATGAATTTACATTTGATTTCTAGGAAGAATTAACTTTGTTATCAAAAAAAGTAAAGCTTCAATAAAAGGAGGCAAACTAAAGGATGCAAAAACATGTAGTCCAGGTGATACTTGGAAACTTTTGACATATTTCATTAGCGTCCTTCAAAGCGTCTCGGAAAAAATGGATGATGATTCTGACACCCAGACAGAAAACACACACACACACACACACACACACACACACACACGCACGCACGCACGCACGCACGCACACACACACACACACACACACACACACACACACACACACACACACACACACACACACACACACACACACACACACACACACACACACACACACACACACACACACACACACACACACACACACACCTGCTGCCTACCTGTCTGGCTGCGGGCCGCCTGCTGTGTGTCCATGCAGTTGGTCAGGTAGGGGGAGTTGCTGAACATCCTGCTGGGGGGCTGGTGGTGGTGGGGGGCCGTCACAGATGGAGGTTGGCTGGGGGGGACTGGTGCAGTTGGAGGGGCCCCGAACGCCCCGTACCTGCAGGCCCCGGTGCCCGAGAACTGCCCGGAGAAGTGCACGGTGAAGGCGCTGAGGCCGCAGTGAGGGTCCGTCTCGTGCAGGTGGGGGTCGGTGGTGGCCCCCCAGCTTGGCTCCTGCTTGATGAAGGAGTGCGGCCCCAGGGAGGAGTGGGGGGCGGCCAGGGAGGAGTACGGGGAGGCTGCTGGGTGGAAGTCCAGGACGGGAGCCCACTGAGGGGCCGTGCTGACAGGCAGGGCCGGGCAGCCGGGGCTGGGGCCCCCCGAGAGGGGGGGCAGCATGGAGGTGAGGTCACGCACGTCTGAACCCATCGTGGTCCAGGGGGCAAAACTAGGACTAAGGTAGGCTATTTTTAAATTTGATCTGCCTCCCTATTTCTACCTGTCTGTCTCCCCCAAATCTGCCTCACCCTCTAAATCCACGAGAGTCTCGGAAACCTTCTTCACACCGCAGGATTCTATTTGAAGTCTGGTTCGGTTTTCGCCCATCAGTTGTTTACGACGCCACTCTGGAAGCTCCTTAAGTCCGACAGAAGTTCATGGCGATGCAGCAAACTCAAAGGAACTTTTTTCAAGGAGGAGGAGGAGGAGAGATGAGGAGGAATAAAACTCGATGATCAGTGGTGGTCTTCACTGTTTCCCTCGGCAGAAAAAGAATGTTGGGCTAAGAGAGATGGAGTCCATTGAAGGAGGAGAGAGGCTTCTGCTCAGCGCTTTCTCAGTGAATGGAGAGAGAGGAGTGGACGAGTGAGGAGGAGTAGCCCTCTTTTCCCTCCACAATCTCATGTGGGGGTTTGTGTGTGTGTGTGTGTGTGTGTGAGTGTGTGTGTGTGTGTGTGTGTGTGTGTGTGTGTGTGTGTGTGTGTGTGTGTGTGTGTGTGTGTGTGTGTGTGTGTGTGTGTGTGTGTGTGTGTGTGAGGAGGGTAGGAGGTGGAGTCAGGAGGTGATGAAGGACAGGAGCCCTCTGACTTCATTCACTTACTGTATGTTGAACAGTACACACACACACCCCACACACACACTCAAACATTTTGCAGGAAATATATTCAAATTCTGACAAAAAAAATATATTTGTCATTGTTTTAGGGTGTTTTGGGTTATGTCGAAAAACTCGTCATTATGATTTTGTTTTATCTCAGCTAATTGAGAAAAAAACATCCCATGAACTATGTTGTTTGATATGATTAGAGTTATACATCTAGGTTATTGCTGAGAGGCTGATATTTTCCCCAGCCATTTTAGGGGTCATAGATAGGCTACATATGTTTAATAAAATACGATCACATACGCAATTTTAACACATTTTTAATCGAAAAAATTCGAAGGTTTCGATTCGATAGTATTATTCAAACCCTACATTTCAGACAGAATTTGGAAAGAAATACAGAAATTAGTCCTGGCCCCGCGCAGGAATATTGTTAATAGTAAGGTAAAATGACATGAAATACGTAATGTAAAAAAAATGGTTGCGGTTTGTACGGTATACTGAAACCTGCCAGTAAAATTACTTTGCATAATTATTATTGGTTGTATTATTTTTTATTGTTAGAACCGAAGCGGTCCAATTTAAGTTGTGAGTAGATTCATTGTCGGTCGCTGATGAACAGCCCGCGAGGATACATCTTCTGGGATTAGGCTTCAAGGCCTACGGGTCTACTCGTTGTTTATATTTACATGTTTAATATTTTGTACTAAAATCTAGACAAAAGCAGATAAAAGTGCCTTTACAAAAGCCCAGTGACACTGGTGCATCATTCGTTTAAAACATGATTTATTGTGGCCTGAAAAGTAGGCTACTTTACAGTCCTCGGCTCGGACCTATTTTGACGTAAAAGGTAAAGCAGACATTATTTGGTGAACATTCTATAAATATTTGTTCACTACCCCGCAGTACAAATAATCTAGATTTATTCAAACGTGTATATATAAAGTAAACGATAACAAAGTATTAATAATAAAGCTCCGAGTCTTCCTGACACGGTCGGTCGGTTTTCTCCTTAATTCTCTCTCTGTTCTCTGTTCATTTTTCATTATCAATTGCGATGATGAATGTCCATAAAATCCCGTTGAAAAGTCCGTTTCTTCTTCGTGTGGGAGTGGGAGAGTGTGTGTGTGTGTGTGTGTGTGTGTGTGTGTGTGTGTGTGTGTGTGTGTGTGTGTGTGTGTGTGTGTGTGTGTGTGTGTGTTCGGGGCGATGCCGGGTTAAAAGGAGGATAACGGCTCATTTGATGCAAATATCATATTTTACCCCCAGTGTTGAAGTGGTCAAAACAGACAGACTTTACCCCGCAGTTCACCCTAAAAATAACCGATAATAACAACACTAATACTAAATTGATTAATACATAAATTAAACTGTGCAGCAGTATAAATTGCTGAATATGTTGAATTAGTTATTCATTTTTTAAATTAATTATTTGTTGATTTATAACATTTATTTTATGATCGTTTTATTTGTAACCTTTCTCTCTCAGTCAGTAACTCTTTCTTTCTACCGTCTTGTCTGAGGCTCTGAACCCTGCGCGTGACCCTGCAGCCATAATTTAAGTTGGCCTAAAGACAAAGAGGGGGGGGGGATATGAGAGGAGGACACCTATGATGAAGCATCTCACACACACTGCAACAGAGAAGCTCACTGACACAATATTGCACTTCACTCTTCAAACGGATTTTCTTAGCAAAATGAATCAGAATGCCTTCATTTGTTTTCCATTAATCTAAAAGTAAGTTTAAAGAGACACCACATTCCTAATCAAACAACAATTATGAAAGAAGTCATCAGATGAAAATCACCCTGAATAATCAACATCATGTTGTTATCATTTAAAGTTATAACTTAATAAGGTCCCGTCTGATGGACTGCTGCAGTGTGTGTACATTTAAAAATGTTTTGAGAGTAATTGACAGGCATGATTTAGATTTGTTTTTAAGTTAAGGTTACTGTGACACAGCAGTGTCTACTTAACTTGAGAAGAGTCAGCTGCTGGACAGAAAAACAATGAGGTAATGTTTGTGATGTCAGAACTCTTCTTTGTCACTTCATACATTCAGGACATCCAAGTGTGGGCAAAGGAGGAGTGGCTGGAGTTTAAGCGAGTGGCTTAGCACCCTGTCAATCAAGGCCATTAACTTCCCAAACATACTTCAATACAAAGCTTTTTAATTCCCTAAATAATCTTTTTTTAAATCACCAAGAAAAACACCAGCAGTGAAATGGATGTCCAACCCATTGAATGAAATACAGTTTAAAAGTGCATTTCCAAACACCTGCATGTATGCACAATTTTAAGTCAAGCATAAAAAACCCATTAAATATGGAAAAATTTGCTTTACATTTTACGAATAAATATTCTTGCACAAAAGAGTTTACCCATAGCTGGGGCGGAAATGTATTGCATATTAAAAAAAAGACTGAAATCATGATAAAGTATGTGAGCTAAACTTCCACTGAACCTTCCTTCTATTTAGGGAGACTATAAGCTTTCTCAAATAAATAAGCTAAACAAACAAAATGTCATACTTCCATCATGTTTCCACATTATTAACATCTGATTAAGATTTAACTGTGCTTATTGGATTATCTAATTGTGTCCTCTTCTCCTGCAATGGTTTAATGGCAGGAATATCACTGCCATCTTTTCTTTTAGCATCCACCTTCTAATTTTTGCATAACAAAAGTGGATTAAAACACAGTTTATTTAGCATTCCCCTCTGCCAATTTGCTAGATATACAGTTGTGATGCCACATTTCAATGGAAACTTGACTGAGACTGAGTTTGAGTTACCTCGGCTAGTGGCCGTAGATGAACTACAGCTTACTGCACATTTTACTTAGACAACCTTTTTTTTTCTTTTCTTTGATGCTAGAAAACAGGGCATGTAAGATTGTTTTTATTGTAAATGTTTTTTTAAATAATTGCTTTTTTACATTGGCATGGCAACTGGCAAGAGAAAAGTTCTGCTAAAGCGACTGATTTTGTTGGTACATGAACTCTGATTTGCGGTGCGAACGCTGGCAAAGCTCGGCCTTGTTCTGGAAGGACATCGCCTTTCCATTGCATATTTGCTTTCTGTGTAAAAGTATTCATGACAAAAACAACTGCTTGTAAAAAATATATTTATGTGCAACATAGTTGCACCAACAAAACCAAACCTGGTGTTTTAGGTCCTTTAAGTTTAGGTGTTTGACTCATGAGAACTGAGCATATTGTTGCTTTAGAGAAAGTTTGTTACCAAACTGAAAATAATTCCATCACTGTTTTCTGGCCTTTGCCCACACTCAGGTCTTGTGCCAATATCATTTTCTCATACTTTGTGTGTGAGTGTGTGTGTGTGTGCGTGTGTTTTGTCCTTGAGCTTCTGATCTAAGAGGCCTATTTAAGCCTATCTCTCTGTGACGGATGCTCCTGGTTTTGACAGAATCACACACCCATAGTACCTGGACAATTCTCAATAACTTTTGAGAATTGGCTGGGAAAGTACTGTAAACATCAACTACTGTACAACAACTGAATAATGTTCTAGTCATGTTTTTAAACAGATGAAATTGGAAAACAATGCAAAATAAATCTTGATAAGATGGAAACGCCAGTGGGACAAATGTTTCAATGTCTTCTACTCTGTTTGAGTTTGGGGCACGATCATATTTTTCTGAGCTTGTGTGCTTCCCATTTAAGACAAATGGACGTTCAGCAGGCCAAAGATGCTGGCAAACTGCCACAGTACACACACACACACACACACACACACACACACACACACACACACACACACACACACACACACACACACACACACACACACACACACACACACACACACACACACACACACACACACACACACACACACACACACACACACACACACACACACACACACACACACACACACACACACACACACACACACACACACACACACACACACACACACCCTGCAGTTTCAAAGTATCCCAGTTACTGTAAAGTGGGTTTTCCCCCTCTTAACGGAAGTGTCCACTCAGCGCTTTTCTTCCCATCATGCTCTTCCCCTGGAACCAATTACAGGGCTGACATGTCTCAATTTGTTTTACGCACCGTCAGAGGAAGCAGGGCAGGTACAGTTAGATGGCAGCAGACAGTGTGTGTGTGTGTGTGTGTTGTTGTGTACAGTTTGCGCAACCATTCAGAGGGTATTTACTATGTGTGCAAACTGTGTGTGCGAGTGTGAGTGAAGCAGAGATAGATGGTGACTTCACCATCTGGAAATCTAGTCTGTCTCTCTCTGAGCAAAGAGCTGCTGACCTATGATTCAACTCTTCAACTCCGCAAGGGAACACAGAGCGAAGGGATGAGGAGGAGCGCTGTGAAAAGTGCTTGTCATGAAGAGAACAATCAGTGCGTCTACTTTGCTCAGTC